AAAACAAAATGGGGAAACAAAATATATGCCCCAAATGAAAGAATAAGAATAAAACCCTGAAGAAAAACCTAATAAAATGGAAAATAAGTCATTTTCCTGATAAAGAATTCAAAGAAACAGCCATAAGGATGCTCAACAAACTGGAGAGTAGAATAGAGGAACTCAGAAAGTACTTCACCGAAGAGATAGGAAGTGTAATAAAGAGCCAATCAGAGATAAAGAATACAACAAGTGAAATGAAGAATACATTAGAAGGAATAGACAGCAGATTAGTTAATGCAGAAGAACAAATTAGAGACCTGGAAGACAGAAGAGTGGAAATCACTGAATCAAAACAGCAAAATGAAAAAGAATTTTTTAAAATGATGATAGTGTACGAGATCTCTGGGAGAACATCAAATGCCCTAACACTTGTATTATAGGAGCTCCAGAAGGAGAATAGAGAGAGAAAATTGGGCAGAAAGAAAATTTGAAGAAATAACGACTGAAAACTTTCCTAATCTGGGGAAGGAAACAAACATCCAGGTTCATTTCAGGAAGCACAGAGAGTTCCAAACATGATGAACCCAGAGACCCACACCAAGACATATTGTAATTAAAATGGCAAAAACTAAAGATAAAGAGACAATCCTGAAGGCAGCAAGAATGAAACAAGAAGTCACATACAAGGGAAACCCCATAAGGCTACCAGTTGATTTCTCAGAAGCAACTTTATGGGATGGAAGGGAGTGGCAGGAGACAGTGAAAGAGCTGAAAGAAAATAATTTACAACCGAGGATATGATATCCAGCAGGTTAAATTCAGAATTGAATGAGATATAAAGATTTTCCCAGACAAGTAAAACCTTAAGGAGTGTACAGCCACTAAACCAGTCTTACACAGAATGTTAAGGGGTCTTTTTATGCAGAAAATAAAGGTCCATAACCAGAAATAAGAAAATATATGAGAGAAATAATTTTTGTTGTGGTGAATGGTGATCACAGAAAGGTAAGGCAGAGGCAGATATGAGGTGATGGTCACAGCTCTTATTATAGAGACCACAGAATCATCAACAATTCTTTAATTCCCTCTAGAGCAGTGATTCTCAACCAGTGTGCTGCAAGAATTTTTAAAACATGTAACACCTGACTATTTAGTCAGGGTCACTGACCTCTTTTCCCTTAGATTGCCAAATAAAATTACAACAGCCAATAGAACAATAGCCATCCAGTGTGAATGAATCAAAATATTACCTATTTTTTGTCATATCGGCAAAATATATATTTTTGATGTGCCTGAGAATGTTAGTAATTAGTTGATGTGCCATGAGATGAAAAGGTTCACAATCGCTGCTCTAGAGTGTGGAAAGAAATTCTTCTCTGGTTTGACTCTTTCTTACCTGTCCTCCAGTTTATTGGTTTTATAGAAAAAAATTGGCATTGCTAAGTGTGGGCTCTGAATCTGGTGCTGATATTTGATGACAGTCCAGACATTGACAACAATTCTATTTATAAAGAGATAACATACATCACTATCCATCCAGATTTGACATCTCAGACCTAGTGCAAAGTGTTATATCTTTAAGCAGCAAATCTAAGTGGATAACTTGTATTATGCTTCCTTCCTATTTTAGTTTTTATTTTTATTAAAATTACATATGCACAGAGCTGAAAGAGGCAATCAGTTCTAGAAGGCTTATTATGAAACACAGCCATCTTCCAGTCCCACCAACACCAGTCACCCACTCTTCTGAGGCTACTACTTCTCATTAGTTTGGTTGATCCTGGTACTTGCTCAATATCTCTGAATAACTTCCTTTGATGGCAAATACTTGATTTTTTAGTTTCAGACATTCTCCAGTGACCTCACAGCATGGAAGAGGAGGGTTTAGGTCTATTTTAGCCCCACCTGCCCCTACTGCCCGGCCCCCCATTCTCCCAAACTAGTCATATCATACATTTGGTTAGATGGTTATCTATGCTTAGTTTATTAGGACTCTTCCCACTATTCATGGCCAAGCCATTAATACATAATCATTTCTCTTCCTTTCCTGCACAAGTCTGTGCTTCCCCTGTGGTTTATAATTACATTTTTGTTATTCGTTTATTTGCTTAGTTTTCTCTGTTCTGTCCCCAGAGCTCTCTAACCTCCTTTCCATGGGTTCAGAATTACCAGATATTCCATTAATTTTGTACTTTTGGCTTTACTACTTCTGAGTCCTCTGACCTCTAATCTGGCTAGCTTATTCCCTAAGCCTGCTGCAGAAGTTTAATTTTGGAACCTCCTTTTACTGTCTTTAGAGGGTCTTCCTTCCCTATTCTGGAAGTTTTCCTCACTTATTATTATAGATTTTTCTTATCTGGTGTAATGGTTTACTGTAACATATTTTCATGTAGCAAGTGGTTTACTCCCTTATTTTGGTGGAGCACATCTTCCAAAAGTAGCTGTCTCAGAAGGGGGTGCATGGGAAATAAATTTTTTCAGACAAACTTTTCTTTTTAATCTTCACTTACTTTTGATGGACAATTCCGGGTATCTTCAAAATTGTCTTCTAGCCTCCAGTGCTTTTGTTCAGAAATAAAATGACATTCTGGTTTTGACCCATTGTATATAACCCTGTTTCTCTCTCTCTCTCTCTGGCAGTTTCTAGGGCCTTTTTTTGTGCCCATATGCTGAAAATTAATGACGATATGCCTTGGCGTATAGTGTTTTCTTGGTCTGTTGAGCTGGACACTCAGAGGGCCCTCTTACTCAGGAAATGCTCGCCCTTAACTTCTGGAAATGCTCCTCGATGCATTTGTTTGATTGTTTCCACTGCTCTGTTTTCTGGAACTCCTGTTCTTTGAGTGCTGGGCATCCTGTTTTCTGTTAAGGTATGGGGTGTGCAGTCACTAGTCTGCCTGAAGTGACAGCGGAAAGTAGGGGATTAAGGTCTTGAGCGGTCTCTCGGTTACCCTGTTTTCAGGCTGACTTTCATCCCCACATCTAGAGCCTTGTCCACTGCCCGCTGAACAATCATTGGTTCTTCTGATTTTCAGCTTCCAAAATGTTGTTGCTCTCATCAGGTCTTCTTCTTTTTCTTACAGGTTTATGTCTTGTTTTTGTAAAAAAAAAAATCCCTTTACTATTATCTTGTTATAACAGAAAGAGCAAAGGTAATAGTATGTGAGCCACCTGCCATCTTTAACTAGAAGCCCAAGTGATTTTGAAAGAAATTCAGAACTGAAATTTGCCACATGTTTTAAGTCCGTTTGCCTCATGATAGTCGGTTGAGTAGATGTTCACCGTATTTTGTGACCCACTGGAAAGCGAGCAGTGCCGTCCGGTTTAACCTACTCTGCCTGCGGCTGCTGGATGATGACCAGAGGCTCTAAGAGTTGACGACGCAAGGAGAGAATGACGACAGTGTAAAAGATGCTTCCCCTGGCTCGAAAGTGACTTCTGCAGCGCCATCCTCTCCTTGACACCTCATGGTCTGTCATTCAGATCTGCAAACAGGAAGCCTAGTTAGGGAAAATTAGCAACAGAAAATAGCTAAGTGTCCGTATAACAAGTAGAAGAGCGTGTTAATGGAAAGAGACTGCACTCATTCATTGACGGTTCTATTTAAGTCATATCTTTCATGTTATTTGAATCCAGAAGGCCTTGGGTTTGACTTTGCCTGATCTTTTCTTTGTAGCCTGGCACAGCAGTCGGGGAGAAAAGGCCCCCAAGGTTGCCCTGTCCCTGGAGTCCCTTTTCCTCTTGTCTTGGGGGCATCACGTGCCTGTCATCAGTCCAGCTGAGCGCCGACATCTGTTTTGTTCTCTCACTTAGCAGGCCGAGCGCAAAGGCAGCCAGACGTATCCTGTGGCCACGGGGTGGTTGACACTCTTCTCGGGAGGCGGGAGGAGGTTGGGAGTGACGTCCCAGGGAGCACCTCCAGTGTGGCATTGTGACGCTCCGTGGTTTCCTTGTGAGGGTCTGCCAACGCGGACGCACTCTGCAAAGCAAAGAAAAATAGCAGCTATTCCTCAAAAAGAGGCTTTGAAGAACACCCCAAGGAGAAATGACTCTTCTTTCCAAATGACAGCCTGTCCCTGGCATCCATGGCTCCCCCCCCCTCCTCTGCGCCAGGCCCAGCCCTGCCCCTTTGCCTCCTCTGTCACACCGCGGGGCCTCCTCCTGCGGGAAGTCTGGGCGCAGCTGCCAAGGCCGCCTCAGCTTCCAGCAACATGCCTGTCGGCATAGGCTCAGCAGAGCCATCGTATTTTTAAAGGGACTCCTCCCAGCTGCCCAAGAACCACATTTTCGCCAGATCAGTATGCAAACTGGTCTTTCAAAATTATGATTAAACCAGGGGCCTAGTGCCAACCAGACCAGGCATATAATAGAGATAAGAAAAGGGGGCCAGGAGGGGAATGCCAGTCGGGTTTGCTCATGCCCTTTCTGAAGGGTGGCTCTGGGCCTTCATTCCACACAGGAGCATGGGCTGTGGCAGATGTTAGGAGTGTTGACAAAGGACACACAGTAAGATCGCTGATCCCATCCCCTTACGGGATGTTAGGGGTGCAAAGACTGACCCATTCCTGGGAGACACGGGACTCCTCTGACAGGTCGCTGTGTACCAAAGGTCCCCTTCGGTCATCCTGCACCTTCTTCAGCCTGCCCTGCAGCCTGGGATGTATCCACCCCACCCTCCTACTCTCCTTCACAGGTCAGAACCGAGTCATGTTGGTGGCACTCCCAGCTTGCCTGACTGCTCCCCACTTTCTCACATGGGCTTCTCCCCCTAACAAAATCATTGCAGGTTTAATCCCATCTTGGCATCTGCTTTTCAGAAGGTCCAGACTAATACGCCTCAAGATGTTCTGCAAATTCACATTGACAGGCAGACGGACTGATCCAGGATAGGAGACAGGACTACTAGGCTGGGTTTTAGTTTGTTCCTGGCTGGGGCACCAGGAGCCACCAGGAGCCACGTTTTCTCCTTAGCACAGTTGGATGTCCTGCCTCTTACTGTCTTTTCCCCTTCCCTTCAGGTTGTGGCTCTTTCCTCCTGGTGCCTGCTGAGGGACTCGATTTACTACACGCTGTCCGTGGTCGCACTCATCGTGGTAAGTGTGTGATGGACGCCCCGCCGGAATTCCCTTACCTTGAGCTCCCATCGCCCTTCCCGCCACTCAGGGTTGTGTGCCTGTGGCTCCTCTGCCTGCAGCAGGTTCAGGGAGTCTGGTGACAAATGAGCGAATGGATGTCTGTGCCTGGAGGCCGTCTTTCTCTCTTCCAGCTACTTTGATCAGCCGGCACCCTAGCCTGATCGTTGGTGCTCAGAATAGGAGTGTCGACTATGGTTACCTGGTTCCATGAGAGCCCTGCTCTTTTCCTGTGAGCCCCCTGACCGTTCCCTCTCCCTGTCCTCGCAGGCTCCTCTGTGGCTCCCTTCATCATCAGCGCCCCTGGCTTAGACCTCACGTCTCCCTCTCACTCTGTACGCTCTCCCAGGGCAGCCCAGCTCTTCCCACAAGGCCCATTGCCACTGCCACCTTTGTGTGGACACCCCTACACTGTGCTCCTAACAGTGGCAACTCCCGGAGGTCCAGTCATGGATTAGCAACCCTCTACTAGACATCTTCATGTCCCAAACTCAACATGTCTCTCAATTTAGGATGATTTCCCAAGACTGGCCCTCTTTCTGTATCTCAGCCTCCATTCCTATCCTGCCACCCAACCTGGGAATGATTAAACTGACCTTTCCCCGCGACTGCCACAATACCCATTTGGCTTAAGTGTCCTGTGGATCTTCATTTCGCAAAAATCTCCCTGGTGTGTCCCCCCTTAGCCCATTTTAGTTGAGGTTTTTTACATCTCCAGCCTGAATGGATGCAGCTCATCCTAGGTCAGTGTTGTGATGAGTAGTGTCACTGCCACCCCCTCCCCTTATCCCCTCCCTTCTCTCTCCCCCTCCCCAGTCAATCCTCAGAACCGCCCAAGTGGTGTCTCTACAAAGCACATCTGCAAATGCCAGTCCCTTATTTAAATGGTCTGTGGCTCTGTGTCACCCGTGGGGACAAACCAAACCCCATAGCTTGGCAACCAAGCCGTCCAGGAGAGTGGCAAATCAGAAAGAACTGAAATGGGAGATCTGACTTCTAACTCTGGTCACCACTTACCAGCTCTAATGTCCGTGGAGAAATCAGTCTCCCTGGGTCTTAGTTTTCTTACCTACAGATCACAGGAAGATCTTGGGTTAGCGCCACAGTCCCCTCATTCCAGGGCCATTGATAACTGGTAGAGTGCAACCTGCCCCAAGCAGCAGAGGGTTCGGAGACCCGCTGTTGGACCCGAAGACACTGTTGAGCTCCTGGTTAGGAGACTTAAGGACACACTTGACTCTGTTCATGTTCTCAGTTATTATCCACGAAAAGGTAGAATCGCCCCAAGTCTAGAAGACTCTTCTGCTCCCGAGCCCAGACCTCCCAGGTGCTCTCTGCAGTGAGCTGTGCCCAGCGGTGCAGGAACCACACTGTGCGCTTTAGGGTATTTTAGGATAATTTCTGAAAGTTTCTTCTTTAAAGAGACACGGTTAGGGGGTGGTGTGATGAATGCAGCTCTCTGCTTTTGCTGAGTTCCAGGAAGAGATGACCACTTTCAGAAAGACGGGGTGAAGAGACAGAGCAGCACAGGCCAATGTGGCTGGGAACACGTGGCAATGTCCACTCCCCAGAGCAGATGTGCCGGCCTCAGTTTCCAGCATAGACACCTCCTGATCTGTGTGTGAAATAACCTATATTCTGTCCAATTCATCGTGGCACATCCAAGATGAAACAAAAGTATTTGTTGCTCATGATGGGTTAAGTGAGGAAGTCCAGCGGGTTTGCGTCTTCAGGGTGCAGGTGCCCTTCGCTGGAGCGGGGTCTTTGGGCAAAGCCATCTCCATGCCACGTGCCCTGGCGAATCACAGAGCCCAGTGGAGGGAGGGACTCTCAACCTGTCCACAGCTCTGCGTCTCCATGGCAACGCCGTGCAAAAGCAAGGGATTCTTTGTCTTTACCTGAAGGAGAGCTCTGTTTAAAGACCAGATATCAAGGCTAGAGTTCTGTGATTTTGAAAAAAATTACATTTCTCTACTGTTAGGAGGTAATGGAAAAGGTAAAGTTTGGGTCCTCAAGGCTTGGGCTGGGTTCGTTTTACTTTAACCAGTGCTCCTGCAGCCTCAGTGTGCCCTGGAAATGCCCAGCGAGCTCATTTAAAATGCACAGCCGGAGATTTTAACTCAGAAGGTTCTGGGGCAGGACCCCGGAGTTTGCACTTCACCCAGGACCTGCTCCCCTCCGCAGGGGGTTCTGCTCCAGCAGCACGCACTGCACGCGGAGAACCTGGACCTCGAATATGGTTGGACGCTGTTTCCTCCCGGTGTCTGTCTGTTGCATGGCTGTGACTGTTCCTGGAGTAAATTTTGAGGTTCTCAAAAGCAAGGCATAGTGGCAGCTTGGTTGCCTGAATTTCTGACTGATGCTCGTCCTCTGGGTCATTTTCACGTGAAACTTAAAACCAGCATGACGACTAAAACAGTTCTATTCCCAGAAGACTCAGCACTTAGCGGCATTTAGCAGCGGAGGCCTCTCAGTGTCCCCCAATCCGCCCCGCTCCCCAGCTAAGCTGCTGTTCTCACTGCTCCATCTCTTTGTCAAGGTTTCCTGGTCTCCTCTTTCCGTGCTCCTCTAATGTCATGGCAACCAAATCACGTTTCTCCTGGCCTTCCTTATACGATACTAAGCTTCCCCATGGGACCCTCAATGGGCGTTTAAAATTCCTGTATTTAAAAGCCTTTCCTCTAGCCACAAATAATTACCAGCCGTCCGGACAATTTATTTTAACTATTAGGTGGGGGTTTTCCCCTTTCTATGGCTCCGAACTGTTCGGAAGACTGAACTGCCAGCCCCCAGAGGTGACACAATAAAGGGCTTACTCACCCAGAGGGCAGGTCCAGAGGAAACGAGACCAGATGCCATTTCTGTATACACCCCTGGGAAGCGGTCCTGCAGACCCAGCAGAGGAGCCTGGAGGGCAACTCACAGGGCCTGGCATCCAAAAGGTGGGAAAGATGACTTCTCCAGGGATGCTCGTGGCCGCCGGGCCAGGAGAGCGCTGCTAGAGTCGTTACTCCCTGAATTCTGGAACCGCTAACGCGGACGTCGGTGCAGCTGCACCCGGCCAACAAGGAAAACTTAGAGTAAGACAAGCACATACACCCTGAAACCAACGGAGCTTAACGGGTACCTCAGAGACGAGGGGCGCAGTTCATAAGGTACTCGGCTTTCACTCGACTTTCGCTCTGTGCTGTTTTCCAGTGTGCTTGTTGTCAATTTTTAGGGAGGAAGCAGAAGAAATTAAGAAGGTGTTATTGTCTAAAGCAGTTAAAATTTCACAAATTTTAACTGTGCATCTCGGAGCCTTTCCCCTGCCCCATCAAGTGTCCCCTTTAACCCTGGTGACATTCTCTGCAGTGAAGCCTCAGGCCCTGGAGAAGCAAGGTGGAGAAGGAAGGTGGCCCCATGACTTTGGTCTCTAGAAGAGAAGTGTCACTTTTTTGACCTAGAGCATTCAGAGCTCCTTGGAGCATGTCCCTGTGTGCATCTACCTGATAAATAGTCTCCAGATCCTCACAGACTCTCCTGCTGCTTCTCTCCCTCCCCATAACAACCCCCTTTGGCTTTTACCAGACAGCTCCAGCCCCCCAGTCCTATCCTTGCTCCAAATTCCAGCAGGCCCCACAGACTCTTATTGAAATGTTACTGTAATTTACATAATTATGTAATTTACATAAATGCAAATGATTCATTACATCCCAGTCTAACAGCTGCCCTAAAAGGAGTACTTTATTTTTACCCTACATCTCTGCTTTGAGATTGGGGATGTGAGCCTCAAGGAAGGGAAACCTCCGGTGGAGGTGGTTCAGGATAACTTAGATGCTCGCTCAGAGATCCAGATTCCGAGCGCTGTCCACCTGGAGAAGGCCAGGTGAGCCATTAGCACCAGCTGGGAGGCCCTCAGGGCACCCTGAGCACTGGCACAGCAGTGAGGCTCCTTTGAGGTGACACTGCCCTCTCTGTCTCTGGAGGGCTCATTGCAATCTCTCCTCTGGAGGGGATTCTGTCGGGACAAAGAGAGATGACTCAGGTATTCAGCTGCTAGAGGGGGCCTAGGCACGCTGTGCAGTGTGGTAGCCACTAGGCACATGTGGCTACTGAGCTCTCAAAATGCAGGAGGTGAGACCACAGGCATAAAATGTTGATTTAATTAACTTAAATGTGTGTGGCCACAGTGGCTGGTGCCCATCCTATTGGATAGCACAGTTGTGAAGAGCAAATTCCTCCCTAGAAAACAGATCTGCATTCTCACAGCATCTATACGTTTTAACAAGCACAGTCTCGATGCCATGCTGGGTCTGTTGATGATTTTCCAGTTCAATTCTCGTGACTCTACAAGCTAGCTATTATGGGAGTCCCATTTGACAGATGGCAAAGCTGAGGCTCCAGAAATTCAGGGATTTGTCAAAGGTCAGGTTTACCAGAGCAGGCGTCTAAGATGATACCTCTACACAACCCCAGCAAAGAATTCAGATTTTCCCTCCAATAAAATCTGCCTCTTTGAAATCATCCCAGCTTTACCTCATCTACCATGCAACCTGCCGTTAGAGAAACGTGTCTGTTGCACTTACTTTTATGTTTTTAGACTGAAGAGAAAGCTCCCCCCGCCCCTCTCCTGGGCCTCTTTCATTAAGACACCTGATGTAAAGTAATCCAGAAATTTTCTTATCCTGCCCTTTCTTTGAGAGAAAGACCTCTTAGAGTCATGTGGTGACTTCCTTCACCCCCCGCTAGCCTCCGTGGCCCTGTCCCTCTGGCTCGTCACTGTCTTACCTCCTGCAGCCCCACCACCCACCGGCAAGTCCGCCTGCCAGCGGTGCTAATGTCCCAACTCCCTTTAACCTTCCCGTGCAAACCGCCTCGGTGCAGAGCAGCAGCTTCCCAGCGTGTTCCATCCGATTCCTCGGGTGGGATCGCCATTGCCCAGGCTGCCTGCACCCTGGTCCCTGAAGCAGACGAAGTCAGGGCTCCGTTAGGGCACATCTGAGGGCATCTCCACTCTGTCGAGTGGGGGGTCGGGGGGCGGGCAGTTTTCTCTTCCAGCAAGGGAGGGGAGATTTTCAAGGTTTCAGTTTCTTGAAAGAAAATGATGGTGTTGATTTTCTATTATTTTTGCTGCTTAAAATTCTAACAGTGCCAGTGATTATAACACAAGCTACGAAATCTTAGCTGTGCAGCCACCTTGCTCCATGGTTACAGCTTACAGTAAGCACACCCAGGGATCGGCATGCAATGCAGGGACACGCACCTGCCTCCCTGCAGAGCCCCGCCGGCCTCTCCGCCCCTGCCCACGCACCTGGGCAAATCCTGACTCGCCTTTTCCCCACTGGTCCATCTGGAATGTGCCACGCCCTCCGCAGTTCCCTGGGATGGTCCAGCATCTACCGATCCACCTGCCGGATGTCAGCATCTCTTGGAAGAATTCTAGAGCAGACACCAGGACGGAAAGGCTGGTTTCCATGGTACCCAATTGTTTCTCTGAAGCCAGGAGGAAGAGTGCTTTTTCAGATTCACGCCTGTGTGTTCCCATTTAGTTCATCTGCAAAACACGAGCAGAGGTCTAGGTGAAGCCAAAAGTAGCATTGGATGAACCCTGGGTGGGTCAGAGAGCAGGTCCTTGGGCCAGCCATGTGCAGCGAAGCTGTGACCCTGATATCAGTCAGCACGACCCACATGTGGCCACTGGGGGGCGGACACCGCGCCTGGCCCCAAACGCAGGCAGCAGAGCTCAGGGAGCTGCTTTCGCAAGGTCTGTTTTCAAAACTCCAACTGGGAAAAGAGTGGGTCAGTCCCGAAGGGCACCCAGCGGGTCCCTCAACTTCAGCGCATCATGAGAATTGAGTGTTGGCATAAGATGAGGGACCCACCTGTCCCCAACTCAGAACACCAGGCGGGAGCTGCCTCCAGGACCTCGCCCTGCCCTGCGACAGCTCTGGCTGAGCCGGAGGCTCCTTCGGGAGGCTGTCTTGAGGTGTTTGTTCTCCTTCCTGGAGATTTAATGGAGCTGTGAAATGGACTTGGACCCACTTCGTCCGTCCCCCCCCCCCAACTTATTTCTTTTATAGCTCGAATTTGTACCTTTTGACTGTTTCAACCTCCCTGCCTTGGCAGAGGCAGGCCTGAGGGCTGTGACGTGACCGCCACCTAGTGGTTGCCGATGGAACTGGCGCGCAGTTTCTGGATCCAGACAGGACCTAAAAGGGATTTCGGGGAGCCTCCGACCCTGGTAATACCGCTGTCGGGGCTGGGGCAAGTTCCTTTGTATTCTTTTACCCACAAATACGGCATGAAGATACAGAGGGATATGCAACACTTATCTCAAAGGAATTAAGTAGAACAAAATATGTAAGGAATAACACATGGAGCCCTAACCCATTCCCTCTGACCATCAGCAGCATCAAGTGAGAGTCTCCTGTCCTTGTCATCTTACGAGTTTTCAGGGAGGCTGATTCCAGCTCTTCTTAAGGATGTACCCCCTGGAGGAACGTTCTGCGAACAGTGCCCATTTCCTCACTTGCAGTCAGTCTCCTGAATGAGGGGCGATCGGATGATCAGCCTCCTCCAAGTAACAGCACCGGACGCCCGGAGGCAGCTCTCTCTCCACCTCCTCTCCCGCCACGAACAAGCCACTGTCCATTTATTTTCGTAAAGCCTGGTTTCTAGTCCCCTCTACCCACTTAAGTATTCCTTTTTGAGTCCTCTCACTTTTTGACCCAGTCCTCTTAAAGTAATGGCATAAAATCCAGACTGTGTTTGCTTCTTGCCACAGGGTAGCTAAGGCCTCCTGGCTGAGTGGTCGGGGGTGAGACATCACTGCGTCAGTTATTTGGAGGTTTTCGGACGGCACCATTTGTTAGTTCCCTAGTGAGATCACCTGCATTTCTCTTTCTCTCTCCACCCCCCAAACCATGTACACCCCAACTCCCCGGCCATAGGCATCACCTGGCCTTCAGGCCTAGGATGCTGCACCGTTGATTGCGTATCTTGTCCTATGCTGTCCAGAGTTGTCCCACTATTTCTGTGATTTATTGTGCTCCCTGTAAATTCTGTTATCAGTTTGGGATCCATTGTACAATTAAGCCCATTCTGATTTATTTTTCATTGATATGATCATTGAAGTAATAGCTAAAGACGTATTGATCCGTGCCCCCACGTCAATCAGATTACACATAATAAGGGCTTTGTAAAAGCTACTTTCCTGTTATAGAGTATCTCCTGCCTCCCCTGATAGCAGAAAATTAAATTGGTGCCCTAATAAACCCTCTCTAGTATCTCCTGCTCTCCTAAGTGGCTGCGAATCGATTGTTCTAGCCCACTGCCTAAGACCGATATTAAATTAACTTCAATTAATAGGAAACATTTTCCAACTTAAAGTATTTGTTCTTTTCCGTGATTTCTTGACAACAACTCTTTGAAAGCTGGTGATTATACAAAAGCAAGCATGAGCACCTCCCAGGGAGTGGATTCCCTGCCATCCAGCCTGGGGCGCCCCAGTCCCTCTTCCATGTCCTTAATCCTGTTCCCATGGTAGTGTGACAATTTCATCCGGTGTCAATCTGTTGAATCTGGTAACAATGGCAGGAGTGGCTGACCCGATGAAGCCAACACCTTTTCGAATGTTTCTAAGTAAGAGCTTGTTACGAATAAGTGTGCCTGCCCCTTTCCCCTCACCCTCTTTCTGCGCCTGCGGGGTCATTGGAGACAGGCTGTTGGATGGGCCTCTGGTCTGTACCCTGCACATCTTCGTGGTGGTTTTTTCTGCATCTCTCGCAACTGATGGTTAGTATCGTCGCTGGGGACTGAAGCCATGCCTCCATCCTTAGCTGGCTTTATCATCTCTGTGCAGTAGTGACACTTTACACCCAGACTGTCCTGCAAGTTTCTACCTTACAGTTCCCATTGGGCCACTGCCCCTGAATGAAAAACCACTCAGATGTGATCACACTCAAAACAGTCATACTAGTGAGTGTAGAAAGAAAGGGCTTGGCCAGCCCTCGGCTCCTGCTTGAGTGACAGACAGGTGCACCCACTTAGTTTCAACAGTGGCTGTCTGGGCAAATAAGTCACATAGAGACACTACATTAGGAGCCAGGGCTGAGTTCTAGAACTAACTGCAGCAAACTGAGCAACCCCAAGAAAGTTTTTCATGTTCTCTGTGACTCAGTTTTCCTGTATAAATCAAAGGACTTAAATTATACCTTTTTTTTTCTTTCCCCAAAAATGACAAATGGTTTTAAATGACATATGAACTAGGACTTACATCAATTCAGTCCTACTGTGTATTCTCTTTGGATCCTAACTGGTCAGGAGAAGTCTCCATTTGGTGCTTGTGTGTGTTCCATTGCTCAGCCCTTGCGAATCTCCTTTAATGAAAGGGCAGGCCTGTGACCCGGAGCCTGGGCAGCCAGGATTTTCAGTCACTGTTGTTACTGCATTTATTGTTTACCCTCTGCGTGTGGTGGCAGCCAGTGGCGATTCTCCACTTCTGGTTGTGATGTCAAGTTTCCTTGGAAAATATTCTTTTGAGGATATAGGTCAGCTGGAAGAAAAGTATTGAGTACAAAGGAGTCTGAGTGCTTCCATAAAAGCTCGAAGGTGCTACACGGTGCACAGAGACCTGCACACACCTTCAGGTGGCCCAGAGCGGCTGGTGTGTGGAAGCCCCCGCCAAGCGCCTACACCCCTTCCAGACGTACAATCCTACAGTGCGTCTTGCTCTACACAGCAGGCTGGTCATGCTCCCGTCCCAATCCACTGTGGGACAGAAATTGCAGGAAGGATGGGAGGATCTGATGCTTCTCCCCTCCACTTCATGTCCACCCCAGTCTGCCAGCAACACCTCCTCCCACGAACACTAGCCACAGACTGAACCAGCATAGAGGGGAGCCGCCCCACAGGCCTCGTGTTCCAGGCCAGCCCCACTCCGAGTCTCCCCAAGCCAGCAACAAGGGCGGGCTGTCACACAGCGTCCATGTTCATGCATGCGTGCACAAGCATGTGTCTAATCTATACTTTCTTTTTTTCACAGTTCATTTATGATGAACAAGTTTCCTGGTAAGTACCTCTGTTTCCCTTCCAACATTCCTTGTTATGTTTCAGAGCCAAATATATCGAAGACCAGAGATGGGGTTTAAGAAAGAAAGGGACATGTCATGGCAGTTTGGAGCAAGTAGCATTTCTCAGGGACCCTCTGTCCACTTCAATAAAGGAATTAAGTCAGCTGCACAGAGCAGAGATCTCTTCCCTTGGGCTGGGGTGGTGGGCTTCCGTTTGGGATCCTGATATCTGATGTCGTCATCATCTCGGTTATATGGCGGGACTTTGCTGTCAGCCGTTTGTCAAGTCTACACCCTGGTAAAGACCTGACTAATCTTTCCGACTTGTGCTCAGACCTTGTTGACGTAGTCCACATGCCAGATATACCTCGGGAACTAGGGGTGGAGACACCTCAGTGACCTTCAGCCCATCAAAGTTCTGCCTGACATTCCAGAAGACCTTAGAGCTCTGAAAAAGTCAGTGGTTTGTTTTGGATAGATTTTTAAAAATTGCCCAGATTAAATACATGGGAACATTTGTATTTGGGCCAACTCTCCAAATTCCCATTTTTGAGATGGGTTCTGAGCAAGTCAAATATATTTGAAATGGAAATAGAAATTGGGTGTGTTGTGCATGCTCGTTACAACTTTTAAACACTTGATCTGTAGAAGGAGAGTCATGTGAAATAGCATTTTAGGAATAGATGGGTGTGGTACTGGATTATTTAAAGCTAAGAATGAACTAGAAAACAAAGTACAGAGTTCACCAGGCTTCCCTCTTAGCAAACTGAATGCCGGTGCTTTGTTAGAGGGACATCTGTGTCCTGGGATATCTCTATGACTCTCAGAATTTGGAAGTGGAGGGAGGGGGCACTTATCACACTGATGGTAAATGTTATACACTAGGCAGGGTATTAAGGTACTTTTGCCAACTCTCTTCTGTGTCCAGGAAGGGTGAGGAGGAGATAGCTGGGGTGACTTGCCTTCAGGCACCTCTTTCTTGATCCGTAAAATAAGAAGGCAGCCCCCTTTGAGTAACAGCGATCAGTAGGCCGAAAGGGATGGAGTTGCCCAGGAGCACATCAGCTCAGAGGTCGAATAGTCAGGGAGAACCTCCTCGTGGGACCCACCCGGACATGGTCAGCAAATGGAGTGGTGACATTTTCCCCACGTCCTTGGAGATTAAGTGCAGCACAGGAAAACTTGCAGAGGCCTCCTCGCTTCGACCGACGGCACAGTCAGCACAGCCACGGAGCTGCCTTAGCAACATAGTGCAGTTTGATTTGCAGGCAAAAGGCAGGGGAATCTCTGTTGTGTGCGTTTCAGTTACTTACCTGCTGCAAAAGACATATAAAATAGAAAGCACCCACCTCTTAGGATGTATGTTCAGCCTGCAGAGCAAGGCCATGGATCCGTTACGACGGCTCAGCAACGCCCACAGTGCTGCAGAGGAACCTGGCCTGTGTCTTCAGTGAGTCTGAGGAGCTAACAAGAAAACTGAAGGGCCCAGGGTGGCCTTTTCATTCCTCTTTGAGCCTCAGGTTGTGACTTTGGGAGAGAAAGGCGAGCCTGGGACGCAGCCTGGGGACTATCCACCTGCGTCATGTGGCGGCGAGCTTCCGCTGTTCTGGACATAGCCAGGAAGGTGGCGCCATGCCCTCCAGGCAGGAGCGGGGACTAGCTGTCCAACGCGGAAAGAACCGTCTCTGGCAGGAGGATCAGGGACAGTTGACGGTGGTTCAAAACAGAAGTTTGCAGGAAAGGAAGAAAGAAACCCAGGCCATTCACATGACCAGGTCCTCAGGGGACAGCGGGCGGGCTGTGGTCAGGAGAGGCAGGTAGAGAGTGTCTGGGGGGCGAGGGGGATAGGGCTGTGAGATTTTAGGTCTGCAGGCAGAGTCCGTCCAATTCCACACTCTCCTAAGCCCCCCTCCCCCCCCCCCAAGGCCAGGCTCTGGGCCAGAATGAGACACAACACAGACCCAAGCACGGCCCTGACCTTGCAGCTCTGCGGGCTAGAGGTGAGGCAGGCGATTGACGTGTAATTAAGGGTCAACTGGAGACCTCAAAGGACTGGGAGAGGGACCGTGAATCCTATTGAGCCCAAACCTGATCATCAAATACTCAGGCCAAAGAGCAGAGGGGTAAGAATAACAGAGGAAGGAGCATTTTCCTTTCAAGTACGAAAGAGAAGGGTCATTGGAAGCTGTGTGCAGGGTAGAAAATGCCTGTAGTCCGGGGAATATTTGTAGCCAGTCCTCAGGCCTGCCTTGTCCTCACCGTGGTTGGCAGGTTGAACTGCCGTCCGCATGAATCACATTGTTGAAGACGGGCTGGTGTGCTGCACCGGTGCCCATGTGACTTTCTCTAACCGGCCTTTCTTGGTGTGTACGCAGGTGGGAGTCTTTAGTCCTTGTGCTGATGTACTTTATCTACATCGTCATCATGAAGTAAGTAAAACGCCTTCTTAGTTTCTTTTCCAAGGCTGTTTCCTGCGTTCAACATGTAATAAGGTGGAAAGAGGAACAGGGGAGAGGGCAGGGACCTGGCTGGCTTCCCATGCATAGTGTCACAGACTCCTTTGTCTCCCTCGGCCACCTGCTAGAGTCATTGCAGCTTTGATAGTACCAAGAGCAAAGATGCTTCCAACCCATGTGCGATGGTGGAACCAAAGCTTCAGTTTACTTTGAGGAGTCTCTCAAGAGCAAGGTCTCTTCTAGACCTGGCAGCCTAGCTTGTGGCTATGGCTTCACTCTTTCCTAACAACAAAGGAGGTAAAACCTAAATACTTAACGCTTCTATTTAGAATGAGAGAAGGGACCAGAGCTAATTAAGAAATGACTACAACCCTGGGTTGAATATTCATGGACTTCCATTCTTCGTATGGTCACCTAGTGCAATGTAACAAATGACACCAAAACTTAGTGGCTTAAAGCCACACACATGTACTACCTCATACAGCTTCTGAGAGTTAGATGCCCAGGAACAGCTTAGTTGGACCAGGGTTCTAGCTCAGGGTTTCTCATGAGATTGCAGAAAGGACGTTGGTCAGGGTGGCTGTCATCAACTTGATGTTGGACAGGGTGGCCTGCTTGCACAGCTGGTGAGTTGATGCTGGTTATCGGCTGCCGGCCTCGGTTCCTCACCACGGGGCCTCTCCTTAAGCTGCTCGAGTGTCCCAGACGCAGGAACTTGGAGGGTGGGCAAGAAGGACCCTACAACGCCTCTTATAATCTAGCCTCACAAGTACATGCCATCACTTCTGTCATATTCTGTTTATTTGAAGCAAGTCACTAAGTCCAGTCCACACTCAAGGGCCAACTTTGCCTTTTGGAAGGAGGAGTGTCAAAAAATTTGTGGAAATATTTTAAATCCACCATGTCATCTGTTTTTTTCCTCTTGGAGTCTGGGTAGCTTACTGTTTGTATCAAGAGTTACACTGCAGATGTTCCCCATACTCAGAGGTAAAATGTAAGCCCCAAGGTTGGGAACCTGCTGGTTCCTCTTTTTGCCGAGGCCCGTAGATACGAAGAACAGAGATTTTCGGTGCTGCAGCTGCCAGCCCCCTGGGAGCAGCTTCTTTCATTTTAAATTAGCCCATACTTTCCTCAGCATATGGGACAGCAGGAGTGACTACTTTCTCAGGGGGCAAGACAGTAGAAGGCTTCCAGAAGCTGCCAGTCGGGCAGTACCAGGTAGCCGTCCAGAACTGACCCGTCAAGGTTTTCTTGCTGTGAGGCCTGACAGTAATCAACTCCGGCCCCCAGTGACTGCGAGGCCTGTTCAGAGAAACCAGGGTGGCCTTTGGCAAAGGTCACGTGAACAGTGAAGGTAGGAGCTGGCTCTGCTGGCATCCAGGGTGGGCTGGAAGTGGCCTGCCACTGATCACTCAGTATGGTGCCCGGGCGTCCCCTCAGGAGCTGTCTGACGGTCAGCGCAGACCCCGTGCCTGGGTCTTGTTGCTGGAAGAGGGCATGTGTAGACAGTCGTGGCTTAGAGTCACCGTGAGATGACTGACCAAGAAAGCAGGTGCCCTTACCTTTCACTTAAAAATGCCAATAAAAATACCAATAGGTGGGCTCCCACAAAAACTAGAGTTGGCCCAAAGGCTTCCCAATGTTATCTAGATTCCAAAGGAAAAGCTTTTAAAGACGGGAGCAGTCATCTTCATCTTCTTTCTCTAAAACAGCAAAACTATTAGGGAATCAGTGAGGCAGTGGGGAGGCCTCAGCCATGCACGTGCTCCTCCAGTGTCTTTTATTTGTTTCACCCTTTGTTTTTAACTTTATGAGGCTCTAAGTTTGAGTTCCCTAAGAGTCAAGAGTGCTTTTCTTCCTTTTTGAAAAGGTATTTTGGTCATTTATTCCAAAGAAGGGACTGTCCCCTATATGCCCAGCAAACCTGGGGCTTTGAATGGAATTTAGATGAAAGCCATGTCCCATGAATTCACTAGGGGCTTCACAGAGTAAATAGGTCTTCAAAACCCAAGCCGGTCTACAGGGAAGCTGGGTTGAGGGGTATTGCCAGCACACCTCCTGTGACCACTGCCCCCCTCTGCCTGGCCATCGCAAGCCGGTGGGTTGCTGGCAGGGCATGTGGACATTAAGAGAACACAGGAATGATTTCTCTCTTTGCCTCTCCCAGTGTGAAAGCTAATGAGGTGTGTTTCTGCTGATGCCTCAGCTTTACCCAACTTCCAGCTGTTCCAACCAGCAGGATACAAATAAAACGGGGAACAGCAACTACTGTGCTTGCGGAATTTTCTACGTGAATTCTGGTCCTAAGTTCTAAATTGAAATCTCTGCTCTTGAGCCATCCCCCCTCTGCAATCAGAGGCTTTAATCACTGGGTTTTATAAAATCTGATTTATAAAATTGCATGCTTCACAATAAAATAGCTTCAGGGTGCAAGCACAAAATTTAAAACACTCAATTAAAAATATAAAACAGAGCAGCAGCAGTTAAAAATGGCATATATTAGAATCGTCAGCTGCCTTCTGGGTAGATGGCTTTAAATGACTCTAAACATTTTGTCGGGAGGTCAAAGAGCAATTCAGTTTGGCCAGAAACGTCATGGGAGCATGGGGCACACCCAGTCTTGGCAGGGATTGATTTCTGTACCGCTGGGTCACTTCTTTGGGCTTTGGGCCCCAGATGAGATGGTCTGGTGGCCAAGATCAAGTCCTTCGTGTTAAATCCTGGCTACAGAGCCCATCCCGCTGCTTACTAGCACTGGGACCTTGGTTAAGTTACTCAGCCGTTTTGCATCTATTTTCTCTTCTACAAAACAGAGTTAACTGCTTCTTCCTACCTTGAATGTTTTTTTGTAAGGATGGCATTCGACAGCATAGTTATTATCCAATATGTGGTTTCAAGGAAGTTCTCATAATAGTATACACGGTGTTACTATCCTGTTACCCAAATCGATGCAAATGTATAGCACACAGTTGTACTTCATGCAAGTCAGTATTTCCATGTGGAGAATGGATTCTGGGTCAAGATGACAGAAACAGTGCCCTTCCTGCACAGCTCTATCAGGAGGGCAGAGCTGTTGTGGAGTCTAGAAAGTGGAGCGACCTTTCATTAAGAAGAATGTTGAATACATACAGGAGTTAGCAGAACACTGCAGCAGTTTTCAACCGGTGTGTCCCAAGAATGTTTAAGCATGTAACACCTGACTGTTTAGTCAGGGGCACTCACCTCTTTTCCCTTAGACTGTCAAATGAAAAAATGACAACAGCCAACACAACAATAGCTGTTCAGTGTGAATGAATTAAAATTATACCTTTTTTTTGGTCAGATTGGCAAAAAATATATTTTTGGTGTGCTGCAGGATTTTGTAGTTTATGTGCCATGAGATGAAAAGGTTGAAAATCGCTGGAAGGGTGTGGTGAATCCCATGTGCCCATCACCAGCCCCAGCCCCAGCCCCAGCCGCTGCAGTTGCTCCATCCACACCCCTGTCCGTCTCCCTCCCTCCATGTGATCTGAAGTCCCATCCCACGCACATGTAGGAAGCACTGCGCAATGTTTTCACTCAATTGTTATGGAGAATCCTAGCCCGGAACTTTGTCACAAAACCAAGAACCCATCAGACCTAAAATTATGGCATAGCAGTAACTGAGATTCACAGGACACCAATCTGTGACCTTAGGAAACCAAAGACAGACAGAGACCTAGCCGGCGGGCCAGCCTGGAACACACAGACCGTGACCCGCTGGGTAGCGGTGCGGGTGAGACACCTTCTGCCTTCCCCGCCGAATGTGTCTGACAGTCTGGCCCTGCAGATGTGGTCCAGGGAAGGTAGACCTGCCCATCCCGCCGAGTCTCATCACCGCCCTTCCATGCACAGACCCCAAGGCCGGGAGCTCAGCCCCAGAGGTGCCTCCGCTGGCATTGGAGAGGGTGCAGAGAAAGCAGACTGTCACTATGTATTTATGCAATGTTGGTTTTATTTTCACATGTCCTTCAATCGGGAGATAGGACAGGTTGTATATTGTGAGGGGGAACGGGATGACAGAATCATAGCGATAATAACTTGAGGCTCGGGGTCCCCACAGTGCGTCCAGACTGCAGGACACCTGTGGGACTTGGGGAGTGGAGGGACAGCAGAGGCTGATGGGCTCTCTGCGCTTACTCCTTTGCTCAGATATAATGCGTGCATACACCAGTGCTTTGAAAGGAGGGCGAAAGGTGCTGGGAACATGGTCAACGGCTTGGCCAACAACGCTGAAATCGATGACAGCAGCAACTGCGACGCAACTGTGGTGCTACTCAAGAAAGGTAGGCGCGGAGGGCCTGTGTCCAGGACGCGGGCCACGCCTGGGGCACCGCAGCTGGCCCGGGAGCCCGCTGCCTCTGGGCGGGGGGGCAGGTTCCAGTCCACCTCCCTCCCTCTGGCCACACCGTGGGGCTCGCACCCGGTGATGAGCGGACTCGGGAAGCCCCAGGCACGTTCTTGGGATAACATTTGCTGGGAGTGATACAGGGAAATTAGGACAAGATGGCCAAGGAGAGAAGACCAGGGGGTTTGAGGTATTGATTCTGTCACATTTGGTCTGTGTGACCATGAAGCAAGTCACTTAACCACTCTGAGCCTCAATTTTCTCATCTGCAAAATGGGGATAATTTTCATAATGACTAAAAGGAGATAAAGTATGTAAAATACTTCATTCATGACAACTGTTATTAGTATATTATTATATCCAATTCATTTTCAGGCTACATTACCTCAGTTTCCAAGCTGCAAAAGGACACAGTTAATGACCTATTGTTTTTCCAAAGTAATTCTTATATTTAATAGATTCTTGTCAAGCAGTTGATATACTTAGAGAAATAATATAGTGCTCTCTAATAAATAATGTATTTCTTAGAGGAACACAAAAGTTACCATTTACTTTTGCCTTGAATGTGTTTCATTTTTTACCTAATTTTTTTTTAACTTTCCCCTTGAAATATATGGGCTTATTTCTTCTTGGTCCTGTACAGTTGCTTTGCAGGAAAAACAAAAAGAAACTAGAAAATCTATAGGTTATTTTCAAATGCATGTCTGGCTTTGGAATCTGTGGGTAATTATGAGAATTTTTAAATCAATTATTTGGTATACTTTCCTAATTATATGCATGTTTAACTAAAGACTTAAAATTATTTACTGCCATCCCACATAAGGATATCATTTAGTTTTTTCTCTCTGGGTAGTTTATAACCATAAAAGGAATACTCTTAGGGAGGCAAAGAGCTACCTAATCTTATTTAGTGTTTCCAGAGCTCATTTCATGGTTTAGTGGCTTGGAAACAGGAGCGAGCACTCAGAGGGCCTGTGGCCAGGTACCCGTGAGCCGTGTGCCCGGGCTGCACATTCCTAGAGAGGGGCTTTGGTGAAACTGTTTTCCTGCCAGTCAGTAAATCGTTGCACAAGATTTGCCCGAAGCCCCCTCTGGGCTTTGGGCCTCTGCAATGTGGCCATTCACCACCTATCAGCCCCGCTCATAGGCTGGGGGGCAGCACTGTATCCACTTAACACTGAAGTCAATTCTGCAGCCTTTAACCGCTCAAGATGAACATTGTTGACATTTGAAGGGCATAAAAGGTTCCAAAAGATTATATGGGTCTTTCCTGTGCCCCAGAGCTGAGTTATGGGGAAGAAATCCTTTGAGGGCAAGGAGGGATTCTTGTTTATTACCACTTGTTCTTTCTGTGTCAGGGAAGGATGCTTAAATGGTTTCCTCATTTCAAAAGAGCTATCAAGGAGCCCCCCAAATCAGACTTTGGCTATTCCCCAAGTTTGGCTCAGTACAACCCTCCCTGGATGGGTGGGT